GTTGTCCTTAAATTATCATTGTAATGACATATATATAGTAATAAGGTCAGAATTGTAATTTCACTTGAACTCTGCTTTGACTTAGTCAACTTCAGTTTGATAAAACAAGAGTGTCGGTGTGAGGCCCATCTTAGGGAGCTAGGTGGGCTGCGCGATGTGGGGTCCTTCTCGAACTTCAGCCTTTTTCTTCAAGTCTCTAAATCTTTGTTTCAAGGCACGTGCAGTGTGAGATCCATCTCAAGTAAGATCACCTCATACCACAGACTCCATCTCAGTCTTGTTTGGTGCGTTTAAATCCAAAACATTTCATTTTATGTTCCAATCCATCTTTTGGGTCCTTTCTTGCGGTTTTTTATTTGAAATCATTTTACGTATTTATTAGCTCATCACAGCATGTATTCAATAAATATAAGAATATTCAATAGTTTATACTTAGAACTTAGCTAAAATATGGGGTGAAACATGGCGTTTGAATGCGTAAATACACCCTTAAATCACTGCTCTTATTTAAATAACTCATATAATTGTGAGAACATCATATGGAGATCAATCGTTCAACTCTTGAGAAAAATTAAGTAGTGGTCCAAGACCGAGTGCATATCTAGAACCTCAATATTTGTAATTGCATGAAAATCGACGAACAACGCATCCCATTATTAGCACACAATTAACTTAGTTTTTTAATCAATACAGTTTTACGTTCATATTTATTTACTGTTATCTTTATTCTTTAATTATACATAATCTTTTCAACTCTCACGAAATTTAAATTAAATCGACTATAATTTGATATTCATCCTATAAGTGTTTTCTACATATTCATGTAGAATTTGATCCCAAAACTTTTTTGATTTACTATATTTGCAAATTACCGTAGTGTTACATTTTTTTTTTAATCAGAAAGAATTTTCAATTAGAAACTAATGTACTAATGAACACAAAATATCTTTGAAAGAGAATATTTTTCATATAATCAATTTTCGCACAAAATATTTTTGACTTCTCTCTCTCGTATTTCGACTAGACACCACACTCCTTCAAAAATAAAGGTTCAACATAAATTTGGAATTAATGCATGTATTTTGTACTTATACATAATGGTATCGAGGTGTGATTTAATACCGCGTCATATATCTATTGCCAGTCAAATTGGTCAAAGTGAGCAATTCTTGAAATGCGGGTAAATTGACATTGGATTTTTACTCGGTTTCAGAGCAAACTTAATAATGGTAAAAACTTACCCGTACCCTCCTTAAATACCTCCCGTGCAAACAAAACAAAAGAAGAAAAAACCTAGCAATTATTAGTATATGCCATATAGAAGAGAAAGAATAATAATAATACACTTGACAAGATCTAATACACTTAATAAAAGGTCTTTTGTCCTAATATTAATTGTTGGTTTCCATATTGAAACGTATAAATAAGTTTTTATTTGAAAATTGAACGGTCCCCAAAATGTGCTTCTAATGCATATCTAGACACTCTCAAATTGGTATGTTCCCTTCTTTTTTCTTTTTTTCATCTCATTTTCTAAATTCAACTTATAATAAGATTTTTGAACAAAACAAAACGATTGTTTTTGTCAGCACGATTAATCAAGTAATTGACAAATAATAAGTTTATGAAGAAACCTTATGAGTAGCTGTTTAAACAACGAGTTACATTAACGTGCCATTAGTACCATCTTGCATGGCATTACTGTCCTGCCTCATTGTTATTAATTTACATAAACCTAATATATATTTGGCATTGTGTATGTAACACATATATTGTACAATAACCCTTCTTCTTCTTTTTTTTGGTTTTTTATCGGATGTTCAATACCTCCATTGGAGTTCAACTAATTCCTTTTATTCCTTGTAGTGTAGCAAACAAAATGAGTTAATATCTTAAAAGGTCATTGAACTATAAGAATTTATCTTGTGAAGTCACTGAACTTCATTTTATATCAATAAAATCACTCAACTTAAGGTTTATATCTTCAAAAATCACTCAATTACATTTATCAATAAAATAAATTTGACATGACAAAATAAATTATTTTTCTTATTTCATGTAAACATGAACTCCACAAATAAACAAAATAATTAACATAGTTATTTTATCATTACCTCTAATTTCACAAACTGTGATGAGCTAAAATTAACCTCATTCGCAATAATTGATTTTGGGTTTGATTAGTTCCATGAATTGGCAGCAATTCAATGAAGAACTAGAATCCAGTGATGATGACCCTCCATTGGAGTTAATCAAGAAAGCTTCGGAAGATGAAATGGCAGTGGTGTTAATTGGACGACTGTTACCTTCGTTCAAGATCCACTGAAGTCACTATCTGATTACCCATCTTTGAAATGAATAAAAATAATTGAGGGATTCATAATAATTCCATTTCCACCATTAGAGCGTCAGCTATCAAAGTTGAGCTCTGTATTAGTAATAATTTGTGTATATTAAAATGTTATTCCTTAAGAATTGGGTTCTATTTTCAACTTGTAGAGTTTTAACTTGCTTATCACTTATATTAAATTGATAATAACTTATTGTCTTCCCTATTGCCCAGTGCTCACAGGCCACAAACCTCTAGAAATTTTCACGGCATATGACATAAGAACAAGAAGAAGCATAGATTTTTCAAAAAAATATTGTATATTTAATTTGTGGGTTATATATTTATATGGCATATAAAATAATTTATTTGTAGTTGAATGATTTTTGAAGATAAAAGTTTAAATTTGAAGTCGAATGATTTTTGAAGATAAAAGTTTAAAGTTGAGTGATTTTTTTGATATAAAACAAAGTTCAATGACTTTACTAAATAAACTGTCATAGTTCAATGACCTTTTAAGATATTAACTCCAAACAAAATGAGGATTGCGGTTCTTCTGGAACACAAGATCCCGATGGTAACGAATTCATATCGGCACCAGCAGCTGGCATGAGTGCCAAATTAATGGTGGAAGTAGCCTCCGAAGTCTCTCAGGTGGCCTTAGCAGCGGCAGCTCGTCAAACAGGAGGTAAATGTTGAAATGTGTGATCATCTCATTTAGCTGTTAGTTGTGGCAATACTAAGTAGAGGGAGAGATTGATTCCCCTTCGTTGAAAAATTATATTTCTTTCGTTCCAATTTATGCGAAGGTATTTAACAGGGGTGTGAAGTTTAAGAGAAAGCGGAAGTCTTTTGAAATTTATAATCTAAAATATAAGCCATACAAAAATTTGTGGCTATAAATGTCACATTAAGGTGGAAAGTTTTGAGTTAACTTGTTACGCTAAAAATAGAAACGTGCAACAGAGACAACTTTTATTTACTTAATTATTTCATCAACAGGTAAAGTCATGTGCATTATTCCGGAGCATAAACTAGACAAGACGCAGAAAGTGATCGAAGAAAAAGGGCTAAATGACATGGTAGAGTTCAAGACAGGGGACCCTGCCGATGTAAATCAAGAAAGATCAGTTGTTGTCACAAACAATGTAGAAGGGAGAAAAGGGGTTAGAGGAAAATTGAAAAAGGTAGTGCAAAATGAGGTTAAAGTGAGGTCAACTAAGTATCCTATAGGTAAAGGATTAGAGGTTACTATGATAGAAAGAAACAGATTAGGAAGTCATAATCATGGTTACCAAAGAGGGAGAGAAAAAGAAAGGTAAAGTGAAATATAGTGATAAAAGTAAATGGATGTTTGAGGTTGATGATAATAGCGGTGAAGAACATATATATAGGATGAGAAAATGATAGATAGGAATATATATAGTATCATGTTTTTAAGGCATAATACATATATAGATAGACATCTTACCTCATCTAGTAAGTAAATACTCCAACGGTGAAAATGCAAATCTTATCACCTGAACTCGGTTTAAGTTGTCTCCATACAGACGTGCAAAAAGGTGAGTGTATTTACGGATCTGATTTAACTGAGTTGAGGTGTCTAGATGTGCTTTCTCAGGATGTGTTAACTTGTTAATTAAGGTCAAGTTAATATGTTTATTGACCCTTGTGTATTCACTTCTTATCAAGTGTATCAACGAATACAATTGTACCAAATTGTATTAGGTTGTATCAACAAATTGTATTCAAGTGTATCAACGAATATAATTATGTCAAGTTGTATTAGATTGTATCAACGAATATAAATGTATCGAATGTATCAACAAATAAAATTATATCAAGTGTATATGTTTCTTGGTATTCACTATGTATCAAAGTATTTGAGTGTATCTGCAACTAGGTATAGATTTATATCAATATATTCAACTGTATTTTGTCATTGTTACACATTTGTACCATGTGTTGTATACTCTTTCATAATACGATTGATACAATAATGTATCAATATTGTACCTCTCCCTTATTAAAGTATATTGAGAGTTTGAGTATGAAATCAAACAAGAAAAAAGGTCTCCACCAACTCTCGCCTAATACAAATTTCTCGCGTGATTTGTATCAATAATATCCCCCATTTGTATTAGGCGAGAGACAGAGGGGAGACAATGAGAAAGGGAGAGAAGGAGCGAGCGAGGAGAGAGAAGAGATTCAGTATAAAATCCCAAGTATAGTTATTAATTTAGTTGTGTATAGTAAGTATTTAACACATGTTTATTTTATTATGTAATTTGAGAGAGAGAAGAGATTCACTATAAAATCCTAAGTAGAAATGAACAAATGATATTCTAGGTTCACTTTTGACACTTCACCCAATTTTTTAAAAATTCTTAGGTTCACCTCAAATATCCCCTGCTTGATTCATTTTCACGCAAAAACATCTTTTATATATAAAAATAGAGAAACATTTAAAATCCTAATTCTTGTTAAAAGGTTTTTGTCATAAAAGACATTTCAATGGTTAAAAGGATATGTCATGGAAGAAAATGATGATGATCAACCACCACCCCACCCCACCCAACCAACCGTCTTCAATCACTCATCCTTCAACTACAAGAAAACATTTTATTCACCTAAAAACATCTAACAATTATTCATTTTTCCTTCACCATAGTCCAAATTTCCTCTGTTTTGAACTTTTGATATTCTAGGAAAATATGGATATGATATCAAGATTATTGATGTTGTCATTGTTTATCATGTTAATCTCTTTGGCGCAGCGCAAAGGAATGGTAATGGGCGTTGATGAAGATGCAAAAGCGCTTTGTAGTGTAAATCTTGCTCAATTTCTTCCTCCTCCTTATGGTGGTCTCGAAAATATGGTCTGCCAACCTGTTTGGAATTCTTTCCTCCTACGCGTAAGTTCTAGATTATTTTGATTCAAATTTATGTTACATGATTAGTATAACGTGAGTCTGTTTGGTCAAACTTTCAATATCTGCTTATTTTGAATGGTACGTTCTTTTATTAAAAATACTTGCCTTAATTACTTGTTACAGTACTCACAGACGAAAGACAATGTTGTAACGATTGTGTTATCAACTGTATACACAACTGGATGGGTAGGTATGGGATTCTCGCGAGATGGAAAGATGATCAATTCGAGCTGTATGGTTGGATGGGTGAATCCTGAAGGACAGGGGAAAATCAGGCAATATTATGTTGAGGGCTTAACACCCTCGAAAATTAAACCTGAGAAAGGCGAGTTGCCATTGACAAGCGTTCCACCTCTCGTCTATCTTCAAGGTGCTACAATATACTTGGCCTTCCAGCTGAAGTATCCAAATCGCCTCAAAAACCAACCGATCTTGCTAGCATTTGCTACTAAATATCCTCATCACCACCATCTTACTGTACATGATGATAAAACAACAATACTATTCGACTTCTCTTCAGGTAATTGGTTCGTCTTAGCAATAGATATGTTCATTTAGTAGGAGAGTAGTGGAGAATGGAAAGATCATTCAAAGATTTATGAGTAAATTATTTTTCCATCAATTGGTATCAGAGCCTATATAATCTAATTTTCTTCAGGTAATTCATTTGACGTTTCGGCTGGACCTAATGATTATACTAGCTCAAGGAAGACTCATGGGGTATTGGGAATACTGGGATGGGGACTATTCTGCCCCTTTGGAGCGATTTTCGCGAGATATTTAAGGAACCAAAAATCGTGGTATTACTTCCACGTGTCTGCTCAATTCATAGGATTCATATTAGGACTCGCGGGAGTGGTTCTTGGAGTTCAACTTCACAACAACCTGCAGGTTCATATTCCAGCACATGAAGGCATTGGCATTCTTGTTCTTGTGCTTAGCATTCTTCAGGTTTGTCTCTTATCTGATTCAGAAAATCGATTACTTAAAAGATTTATAAACCTTATTTCAAAGGTACTGATCCTAATTTTAGCTGTTGTTTCAGTAACACTGAGGAGAGACTCATTACATTCCTTATTTGACTAACAATGGCACTCGTTTATCAACGTGCAGGTGTTAGCATTCTTTCTACGACCAGATAGAGACAGCAAATACCGCAAGTGTTGGAATTTGTATCATGGTTGGGTGGGGAGGATTGCCCTCTTCTTTGCAGCTATAAACATAGTACTGGGAATGCATTATGCAGGCGCGGGGGAAGGCTGGAAAATAGGTTATGGATTTCTTCTTGGTACGATAATGCTGGTGTGTATCGTTCTTGAGACGTTGTTGAGGCTGAAGAAGCTGGATGAGCCAACTCATCTTCCAACCTATCCCATGAATTCAATTTAGAAGGATATCAAAAGTATATATAAATGGTAATAATCCTAGCATACTATTCTCCTCGATCTTCTGTTTAATAGCACACATTATGTCTACAATTGCTAGTAATTAAATATACAATCAAGCCTTTCTATAACAACATCGTTTGTTTTGAAATTTTCTTGGTTACTATAGCGGAATACTGTTATAGAGAACAGAAGACATGTTTGATGCTAGATTTTGCCTGTCAAGTCATTTTTGGATCAAGTTTCTTCCACAACTAGAGTACTCTTTGCCAAAATTGTATTTGAACGTAAATATATGTTCATGGATCAATTTAGGTTCGAGATGTTCTTCCGAGGGGATTTTCCATGTTGTGTTCAAGGTTCAAAGCAAATTCTCAGGACTACTGATCAAACAGCACCCTGCTAGTGCTGTCAAATTTTCATTATGAGCAAGAAAGAATTGAACTTTCCATTTTGTAGTTTACATTCTTTAGTACCCTTGAATGGTTAAAAATGTATTGACAATTTTGTTTAATAGTGAAGATTGATTGTTTGTGGAGATTAAAGGCAAAGTTGTATGAAATGATCAGTGTGTAATTTTCCCTGTATAAGACACCATGTTCCCGGCACAAGGCCGTATATTAGTCAGGCATGTGGGACACCGAGTGGGAAACCAAAAAAAAACACCATGATAGGAGATTGATTCATTCACAGGGATGTCAATAACTCTATATTACTGGCTAAATAATACTTTTGAGGGAAAAAAAGACTACTTGATCAACCATAAAAAGTAAGGCAAGTTACATGAGTAGGAATTTTAAGTGAACAAAAGTTGAATAAGCTACATCAAATCTTAATTTCCTCTAACCCGTGGGTAAATATAGCAGCAAACGCATTCATTTGAGTTTTAGGCAACGACAAACCAATTTCCAAATCTCCATTGGAGTCCTTGGACTTACCAAGAGTCATCAATATACCAGTTTGAAGAGAAACGAATTCCCATTTTTCTGGCCTTCCCCAGCCAATATCAGTGGCGTATAAATCAAACTTTGGCGATCCAGCAACTGAAAGAAATTTAAATAGATGATCGTCTTCATCCAACCACTCACCACTCAACACGTATTCCTTATCCTTGTTCCTTTTATGAATAGTTTCTCCAATTGATTCTGCCGCGATTATAAAGCCTTCATTTCCAACTAAATCAACATGCCTTGTTTTTACAATGTACCAGACGATACAATTCCCAAAGTAAGATGAAGGAAGTGGAGGATCAAATCGCGCTCTGTAATCAACCGTACATGAGAAATATTCCATTACATTGTCATCTATTATTATATCAGTATCAGTATCCTCTGATTTTATCAAGCAAGCCCATACATAACCACATGTTACGGTGTATGATGTTACATGAGTCAGGCTAGGTCGTCTTGACGATATTAATTTCTTGAGTTTTTCAATTTCATTTCGTCTTATAATAAAAGTACCTCGAACTATGTTATCAGGAGGTGTCAAAATTACATGATCAGCAGTACTTTTATGTTTTTTCATATCATCCCATAGTAAACCTTTTAGTCCATAAGGCTCTTTAACAATAGACCGATCATAAAACGGAATCATCATGAACTCATCATTTCCACCGTATTTATTCAGCGAAGCCCATGACTTTATGAACCCTACTATAGTAGATCCGTCACCAACGATATGATGGTTAACGAAACAAATAGATATGCCATGATTCGGAAAAAGTGTCACCTGAATAGCTAAAACCGGTGCAAATTGGACCCCTAATACATCCTTAGGTTCCGTCAAGTGAGGAACAAAGTGATAAATATCCTTAGCGTTACGTGGATGATCATTACTAACAAGATAATCAAAATCCATGTCAGTTTCAGAAAAAGTAACACATACGGAATCTCCCTTCACTTAACGTAATTCAGGATGATCGCTCGAATTCAATGGACAAACAAAGTTACCAGCTAGTGGTAGATAGTGTTTGAGAGTCAGGGAGAGTGAATGTTTGAGAGTAGGAATAATTTTTTGGATGAAACTATTTTTGTCAATAGGGAGCTTATAGAATAGAATCCTAGGTACATGTTGGTTATATAACCACACCATATCAAAATAGGTTAAAGGGAGTGTCAACTTATCTGTGGCACATGAAGGTGGTGCAACTTCAGATTGCTCAACAATTGAAGCCATTGCTACATAAAATAATAAACAGAATGTGAGACTTGAAAAATTAACCAGAGATATATTTGTTCACGTGAACCCATGCTCCCTCTCTAGATCATATATAGTGGTGTTATATTTTATTAAGAATATTTAAATATAGAGGTGTGAACCCACGTTAAAAGTAGCATATAATAATACAATGATAATTTGGAGCATCTCTCTAAGCAAACATAGAAATTTAAATCTTATATATTTATTTAATTTTTGTTAGTAACACCCCTCCTAGTTATTATCGGTAACACTTTTGGTATTTCAATCAATTTTTCTTTTGTTTTTTGTTGCTTTAATCTTCCAAAATTTTCAAGTGTGTAACATTGGAAATTCCTAAAAAATATTAGCACGGTAAATTTTTTATATAATTAAATCAAATATGTATATTAAAATCTAAAACTAGTAGTATTATATATGTTGCACCTAGAATTTTTAAATTTAATGGTTCAGTGTTAAGAACATAAAAATAAAAACAATGAAATTTATATCTTAAATGCATCTTTTCGTAATAGTGCACTCATCCTTTCGAAATATCCTTTGATATGCCTCTGCCCGGGATCTCTAACCCCTTGGCTCGTACTAGCACATGCCCAACAATTTATGCTACAATGAATATCCTCTCTTTATTTTATGTGATCTCATTTCTTTCAGATTATTTATAAAGAAAGTTCTTTTTAAATTTAAAAAGATTGACTATATTATTTTATTTTATTTATAAGTTTTAATAATTATATAAATATTATACTCATTACAAATTTAAAAGCTTGACTGTCACAAATATTATAACATATCTAATATTAAAAATTTCATTAAATGGCCAAACTGCATTAGGTGTAAAATCGGACACACAAATGAAAAATAATGTCTTAAAAATGCTATAATCACACGTACCAAGGAAAATGCAAGTGGACCCAAATGTTCAAAATTATTGAAAACACTATGATTTTCTTGGAAGAGACTCCCCTCCGGTACACTAATCTCTTCGGTTGATCCAATATATATTTAATTTAATGACATTTGTCAATTTTAAAATTTAATGATCTATATTTATTTAAATAAAGCAATCTTTAAATTATGATTAAATATCATTAATCATGGTTATTACTATTTCTCTTTCTCTCTCCTCTCTCATATATCTCTCTATTTCTCACTTAATTCTGCAACAAACCTTTTCTCAATCAACAAAGAATTTGCAACAAATCGTATTTTCTTTCCATTATTTTCACACCGTGATAAAAGAAGACAAAATTCAAAGCATGAACTTGGGTTATAAAATTTAAAAAATCCAACCCATGAGACTATTTCTTTGAAGCTTGGTTCGATCGCAATGGTGATCCACAAAACTCTTTCATCTTCTTCGTAACATCATTTTTTTCAATTTGGAGTTTCTGTAAAGCCAACTAAAGGATCTGGAAAGGGCACGAAAAATGGGTAGGAAAATATTTTTTCATATATACTTTTTTTTTCTGGTGAAATTCTCCATTTATTTTTTGGGTCTTCTTTTCTTGTGGTATTTATAACTGTAATCTTTAATTGGGGCTAATCACTCCATTTCAGTCTTTCTCTTTTGAGACTCTCCCTAGTTGTTCATATGCAAATGTAAAAACATTAAAATATTGATGTAATTTTAATTTTCAATTGTTTGATTGAGAGTCTTGGAGGGGGGAGAAGTGTTTTTTTGCTGATTGAGAAAGGAATGAAAGTAGAGGTGTACAAAATCGAATCGAAAACCGAATCAAACCGCAAACCGAGTCAACCCGAAAAAAAACCCGACTAGTGGTTTGGTTTGACTTGGTTTGATTTTGGAAAAAAAAACCCGACTATATTTGGGTTGGTTTGGTTTTAACTAAAAAAAACCAACCCGAGACCAAACCAACCCCGAATTTATATATATAATTTTAAAATTTCATTTTATACATAAAAATATTTACTTTGATATAATTTTTAAATATTTCTTATACTTTTCCATAGTTTTTATCTTTTAATATATTATTTCAAGTTTGAAACTTAGAATTATGAATAGGCCAATAAAGATTATAGTCCACAGATGTTGGTAATTATAATAAGAGCAACTTTCACATATAGCAAACACAAAATTCATATGAGTATGCTATAGCAAAGTTTGCATAATTGCACTCCATAGCAAACATAAATATGTATATTTCGCTATACATATACAAAAGAAAGCAGTTGTATAATCTGCTTTTGGTATACATATACAAAAAGATCAATTGTATAAAGTGAGAGAGGCGAGTGAGCGAGCGAGATCTGGGAGAGTGGCGAGCGAGATTTGGGAGAGGGGAGAGAGGGGAACAAAAATATATGTATATATACAATTTTCATGCATTTTATACATTTACGTTTTTGTATAAAGTGAGAGAGGCGAATGAGAGAGCGAGATCTGGGAGAGTGGCGAGCTAGATCTGGGAGAGGGGAGAGAGGGGAACGAAAATATATGTATATATACAATTTTCTCTCACTTTATACAAACACAAACGCATTTTATACAATTTGCGTTTTTTGTATAAAGTGAGAGAAGTGAGTGAGAGAGCGAAATCTGGGAGAGGGGAGAAAGGGGAACGAAAATATATGTATATATATAATTTTCTCACTTTATACAAACCCAAACGCACTTTATACACTTGCGTTTGTATAAAAAACTAGAGAGGCGAGGAGAGAATGAGAGTGGCGAGCGAGATTCACTAGGAGAGAGGTGAAATAGCAACAGTTTGCTATGAGGTACAATTAAATCAAACTATATTTATAGCATTTAATTTGAATTAATAGTTTGCTATTATATACAATTTTCCCTTA